AATGGGCAACCATCTTCATCTTTTTCGAGGACAGAGAGCTCGATCCATCGTACACCAGAGTAGTCTCAATCGTCTGTATTAGGATTCAAAATTAAGTGAAATTACTGAATTGTAATAAATACGAGGGAGGCATGAACATTGCATGTATGAGGACGAATATATTGCTCTCTTTTATTTCACGTACAGTAATTATTGTCTTCTGCCGGTGGGTGTTAAGTGTTAACCTCCCACTCATATATATATATATATAAACTATCATCTACATGCACAGCCAGAGACACATCTACTTGACCTAACTAACTATTACATAGAATATAATATAAGATAAGTTTGCCAAATTTGACCAAAAAAAAAAAACTTCGGCCGGCATCATCGTCGTGCAACGAACACCTCGATCGATCGAACACCATATGCCTGCCTGCATGCACACGATCGAGAACCAACTAACGCACACGTACCCACCAGTACCATGCATGCATATGCACACAGGCAGGAATGGCGCGTGCATGGCAATAGCAACTTCGGCGTGTCCACCTTTCTGTTACTAGCTAGGGGCACACGATCTAGTGCATATGCATGCTACTGCAGGCAAACCGGCCGGCCATGTGCTCCTGTGTGTTGCACTGGTGATCTTTCTGGCTCCTGTCTGATCTGCTGAACGAGCATGGAGATTATTGCATTGGTGCTCTCTGTCAGGAGGCATGCAGTTACAGATGGAGACAGACAACAATTGGGCAATCAGTCACATCTCTTTTGCTAATTGACTTGAACCCCGCCGGTGGCCGTAGTCGCCCAACAAACAGCGCTAGCTAGCCTTCCTTCTTTTGTACCAAGAGACATCGATAACCTTCAATTTGTCGGTAAATATATATATTGGTAATTAGTTGTTTTAACGATGGGATAGAGACCAGAGAATCTTCTGCATCAATAATAGATAATCTTATTCAATAATAATGCATAATAAAGCATTTGACACCATAGTGTAGCGTGAGGCTAGGCGTGTTTTGCGATGCGCCTTTACTGGAGTTTGAGCATGCATATAGCCCGGCCAGGAGGGTGCACAAGATCTAATGTACATGCGCGCAGTGGGATTGGATGGAGGAGTATTTCACCATCACATTGTAGTTGGAGCAAAAAAATTTATCATGCCTATGATGGAAATGACAGCTTGCTTCAGTAAACTTGATTATTAACACTATCATAACAATTTTCTTAAGCATAAAAATTGGTGAATATGACCATCAATTTAGATATATACCTTTTATGATTATGAGTACCCTACAACAGTAAAACCACACACTTGGAACGAACAAAGTAATGCGACCATCTATTAAAGGTTAGCTCTTGTATATATATGTCATAAAAATAACAACACATAGTCACATATGCATATGTAGCTAGGAAAAATAACAACCCATATGCATGTAGCTAGGCTTAGGATGAGGAAAGTAAAACTTCAATCTTTTTGGATCTAGATCTAACTTCAAGTTTACGGAGATGTAGAGCTAGCTAGTCTTGACCGAATATATGGCTGCATGTGGCTAATCCCTAAAACATATGTGGCCAATAAGTTTTAGTCTACAAGTAACTAACTATTAGTCATTAATTCACGTTGAACAATCCAACATGTGCTTGCACAGTAGTGTTGTATTTCTATTATTAGTGGTTGCACTCTCTATTTATACATGAAATGTATAGATGCAAATCATCATAGGTCTCTCACTTGAAACAAAGTATATCCTAGACATTTCAAGTTCAATTATGCACGCAAGACATGTTGCTCTGTGCTTGTTCCTAATAATAGGATTAAATGGAAAACCGACAGCAGGTTTGTGTTTGTATCTCTATGTTTTTCACCACTATCATGTATATTTTTTTAATATATTTGATGCATCATAGATTTATACCAATTCATTTCTTTCAACTAGTTGATATTCATTTATTTATTTATTTTGAGAAACTTAGTGTTGAACTTGAACATTTATGTCGGTTTTATGGCTATTTTATTGTGATTAGAAACAAACAATATTATAATTTTATGATATTTTGTTACTTTTATGTAGATAATTGCTGGCAATTTGTTAAAGTACATCCATTTTGCTTTAAGGCTATGTGCAAGACCAATTGTAATTTGGAGGCCAAATTCGAAGGTGTCGATGTGGGGGGATACCATTGTGATGGACATGGAATTTATGGCTTGTGCATTTGTCAATTGTGTAAACATTAGCTCTCTCGAAACAGAAAAAGAAGACAGCCTCTTATGTTTATGTTCCAATCCATTATCAAGAAGTGTTTGTCCAAATAATTATAGGGTCACAGAGTTTACTAGTTTGATCTTTTGCCATATAGATAGTAGTAGTTGACTAGTTGCCATTTTTCCTTAAATTTCTCATATTTGTTTGCTTTGATGATTCTATGTCAAGAACAAGATGCTTGCAGTGGCTAGACTATTTGTAAGTACATTGTGATATTTAATTCACGGTTTTTAAGTCATTTCGGGGTTCTTGTTTTTTGTTTCACCTCCCATGTGATGAGCTTGCATCGACCTTATTAGTTTAATTGAAATTAATAATGTGTGTAATTTTTCGCTCATTTGCTCTAGAGGTACATGTATCTTTAGATATATATGTTCATCTATATTATATTCCTACGTTCTGACGGTATATAATATAAGCAGAAGTCTGCAATATGATGCTGCACAAGTTCTCTTTTATATTTATTGTCTCCATTCAATAATAGACAGTTTCTATATCGCTAGTGGTGGTCATGGTTGCTTCTCAACCGTTTGTCCGGCTTGATTGTATCTGGGCCGCACATATCTCCCATATGTCATAGCCTCCCATTGCATTAGTGCATATTTTTCCTAATTTTCATGAACTCAAACAACATTGCAGTGCCCTTGACGTTAGCCCATGGTCCATAGATCTAAATACACCCTTCTGCCCAGATTTCCAGCTGCCCATGGATTCTTCCTCAAGTCAACCCCCTTATATAATTAACTACCAGAATCTATGAAGCTCCCTTACGTACTCCCTAGTGCCAGAAACACTCGCTAACATGAAACATAACTCAGGACAGACTTCCCGCGAATAGACACTCGGCAATCAACCCTCAGTGTTTCTTGAGTGTCAATATATATAAAAAAAAAGCACTCGGTGATGTTTGTGTCTCATGTGAGTTTGAATTTGCACTAAGCAAATAAAGAGCACTAGGGAAAGAACGGCCTTACGGTTTTGTGCCATGCTACAAAGTTATTTCAGTTTATTGTTTTAACGTATAAAGAGAGAGCTACAAAGTTACATTTTATCATCAAGCACTGCTAGTATATGACAGCTGCTTCCTGCACTCATCTTTTAGAGTGCATACAAAATATAACATACATGTCGCCCAAACCAACAAGGGATGAAATCAGAAATTGCTCAAGGAAACCCGGCCCCCCACAGATAGAATTGCAAATAAATTATAGAAAAGAATTTGCAAACTAAAAGTAGGCACGGTGGCGACGGCCGGTGCTACAGCAGAGGAAGTCGACCAGAGGGCCGCGGTCGCCGGCCGGCAGCCTTTGGCTGGCACTACAGAGACGGCACAAATGGTGTTGAGGGTCAGTTGGACGAGTACGTGAGTCCATATTGTTAATGTCGTCTAGTCATCCTCTGCTACAACCTCATTAACAATATGCACCCAAATACTGTCCAACTGGCATCCATACCACGATATATGACCATCAGATCGAGTGTGTGTTGTGGCAGCAGTAGTTCATCTCAAAGCAGCTACTAATAGAGGAGCAATCACTAGTGTATATATAGTTTCCAGTGCACGCACCGGCAGGCAAGAGAGGCATGCGGCAGGCAGGAATGGGCGACGGTAACTTGGGCGTGTGTCGACCTTTCAGTTAGAGTAGGGACACACTGCACGTCTAGTGCGTGCTGCTGGCCGGCCATGTGCTCCTGTTGCATTGGTGATCTTGGTGACTCCTGTCTGCTGCCCGAGCATGGAGATTGCATTGGTACTGTCAGGTTGAAACTGTCATGCGTGCAGCAGTGCTACTGTCAGGTAGCACAGAGCGTCGTCCGGGTAGCCAATGACCCCGAACCAAGGTTTTAAATCTCCGGCTAAAGGTATTTAGCGGATGATCTCTAAAACAGCTATAGCTGAGCTAAATGAGGCTATAGCCCGCTAAGTTGTACATCAACCCAAATAGCTTAATCAGCGTCGAGCAGCTATAGCCGGCTATAGCGACAGCTATAGCCGGAGATTTAAAACTTGCCCCAAACACGCCACACTCCTTGCCGAGGTGCTTGTAGCCGTCGGCGTGGAAGGAGAACGGTATGACGCGGTGGATCAGGGACCAGACCCCGCTCCGGAGCATGGCGCGCGATGAAGCAGCTCGAGCGTCGAGGGCTCGGTGGACCACCTGAGTTGGTAGAGCTGCTCCCTGATGCTTTGGTGTGATCGCTGAATGCAGTTGTGACCGGCCCCAAACACAAAGCAGCTAGCTACCAGCAGCAGTACTGAAATACTGAATGGACTCGTGCAATTTCAGTTAACTGAAGGAGGAGGAGTGTTTCCTCAATGACAAGACAGCAAGTTTTACATTTTCCTTGCATTACAGTTTGGGCAGTAATAATCTTATATGACCTGACAATCTCGGCGCTTAAGATACGTACAACTTTTTATAAAAGGACCACTGGAGCAAAACTCTATAAGCAAAGATGTTCTCTTGTCTAAACAAACAAACTATACCAAATTTCCTCCATACATGTAATATATGTGCTTGCCTCCATCATCGTATTTATATCTCTTCAATTTCAAATAATACAGACGTTTGAGGGGCTGGTCTAGCGTCATTTGTGCTCGAGAGGTCAATGTGGAGCTCTGTGGTCGTCGTTGGGGGTAACCAAGAAGGTGGCCGTCCAGTGTCCGTCTCTGTGGCATGAGATTGGTCACCATGTTGCTGGCTGCCTATTCCAAACATCTGCCCAAGGAACTGCCGGAGCCAGCTAGCCTGTTCCAAATATTCTTGAAAGGACTATTGCTACTGCAGATACAAGCATTCATATATTGACTAATAAGTATGACATAATATACTTTTTTGTGTAAAGACAATAGAGATTGATCATTGATACAAGACTGCGTATTTGTTGTGGCCAACTTTTTGACACTTGTGATAATAAGCTCAGTGAGGTTGAGGGTTTTAGATCTCATCACTTACCGAAGAATATTACTGCTAGCCCCTTGTTGGCACTTGCTGGTCCAACTGACATCCATACTCCACCTGAGGTGAGATGCAAACTATCAAACTTGCAGCCAAGAACAAAAACATGTTATTTCAATCTATTTATTTCTGATCAGATATATGTATTAACTTACTTTTCTGATGCATGATGTGTGTCCCAGCCGAGAAACAACATGCCAAAATACATGGAACCTAATAGCGAAGACAAAATGGAAAAAGCCATACCCATATGGTATGTCGTTTTCTGACTCTACTACATTATTAAACTGCAAACATTAAATCAAGCAATTTTTTATTATTTAATTGGGGCAACACATTACACATATTGATTTGATGGTTTATTTAGTTGGAATAATGAAGAATATACCTGTATACATTTATAGTCAGCGCCCGTTGAAAAAGTTGCTACAACAATGTTGATCAGTTCAACAACAAAACTCTGCCAATGTTGAAATATTAATGACATATTTGATGGAATATCATTGTAGATAAGAACCATGACATGATTAAGAGTGTACTTACAATTATTTTCCAATTTTCACTTGAATCAGCTTTTCCTTTCTTGTTGCAGCTTGTGTCTGGCTCACTGTTGAGGCAAAATTTCAGCCAAAGAAAATAATGAACTTTATGACACTTGTGATAAGCTCAATGAGGTTGAGGGTTTTTAGATCTCATCACTTACCGAAGAATTTTACTGCTAACCCCTCGTTGGCAATGTGAACCCACATGCTGGTCCAACTGAACATCCATACTCCACACCTGAGGTGAAATGCAGACTATCAAACTTGCAGCCAAGAACAAAAAAACATACTCCACCCTAAGTTTCTATACAGTACCTTCCTCATGTACATGGTGAAGAAAAACATTACCACTACTACAGATTTGATATCTTGTCCCGGTTGGGAACTGGTTTTAGTCCCGGTTTCCCAACCGGGACTAGCGATCCGAGACTAAAGTGTTGTTCATTAGTCCCGGTTTGCCACAACCGGGACTAAAGATCCTCCCGGCTTTAAAAAAAATAATGCCTTCCACCGCTGCGCCCCCTGAGATTCGAACCTAAGACCTCATGCACTGCCTCGCGCGGAGCTTACCACCCCACCTACACAACACATATAACAATGGATGGGATGTTTTCCTTTTGAACTAACCCATCGGAGGACCTTTAGTCCCAGTTGGTGTTACCAACCGGGACTAAAGGGTCTACCTTTAGTCTCGGTTGGTATTACCAACCGGGACTAAAGGTTGGAGGACTTTTTAGTCCCGGTTGGTGGCTCCAACTGGGAATAAAGGAACATTTAGTCCCGGTTGGTATTACTAACCGGGACTAATGGTCCTTTAGTCCCGGGGGCAAAAAATGCCGAGGCTAATGCTAAATTGAGACATCGTTCTAAAGTCTGTTCTCTAGTAGTGTACCATGTGCACGAGGAAGGTACATGACGGTAGAAAGTTGGGCACTACCGGTGGTGGCTAATAAAGATTACCCCCCTTGGCGCAAATTGTTGTAGTATCTACAGTAGCACCATACTATACTATAGACCCAGCAGCTCAGAGTTAGTTTCCCTGCCTAGCTTATTTTAAAACTTGCAATACTATAAGTTAGAAATTTAACTACTTGCCGATGCTTTGGTGTTTTGCCTAATTATTTTCAGGTGAAGTTGGGGCCTTTGGAGCAGGTTACCTCATAACTTTTCTAGGCATTTATTCATGTCGTTCCCTTTCAGTCACTAACATATGTTTACATTGTTTTTCGAATCGAACGGGTATTTATTTGGTTATTCAGCCGATAGGTGTAATAAAATACATTACCCAGCAAAAAACTAGTAAAGATGATGCGTGGCAAATTATATAGAAGAATAGTATATTTGCTTTATCCCGTGCCCAATGCAAACCAGCTACCTAAGTGTAGTGATGTTTCTATTTGACAAGCTTGGGTTCATGAATTGAAATTACCTTCAGTTGATTGCAGTCTCTATCTTACCATAGGAGCTAGGCACGCCAATGCTGCAGCAGGGAGTCAGGGAGTCAGGCGTATGTGTACTCGATCTGGTGGCTACGACTTGCCAATGCAATGTGTCTGTCCATGGAATGGCTGCCTGCAGGTTGCCCACTGCACTGCATATATATATACACATACATGACCGCCGCAGGTGAGACTGGGAGTGGGAGTGGGTGGGTGATGGAGCCGGCAAACGGCTTCTGCCATCCGCAATGCATGCAGGCAGCAGATGCGCACGCACAAGGCCTTATTTAGTTCCCAAACTTTGGAGTGGCAAAATTCCTGTAGTGGCACTGTAGCATTTCGTTTGTATTTGGTAATAATTGTCCAACCATTGACTAATTAGGCTCAAAACGTTCGTCTCACAAAGTACAACCAAACTGTACCTGAAGATCGGTTGACAAAGATGAGATTGATCGAGAGACACGTTTGGTGCGAATCCGGTGTCACACCTTTGCTACCGACACTCCTAAAACCTATGGAATAAACTACAAGAAATAGTGCTTTACATGACGGACACTTTGGTCACAGACAGTAAAAAATACGCCACGGTTAACTTACCATGACGATTGAAAAATTCATCATGTATCTCACTTCATACATTTGCTATACCTAATTGAGCCGTCGTAGATTGATATTTAGGTTTGTCATAGAATCCATGGAAGTCCATTTAGCCCAGACTAGGCCCGATAGTGTATGACAAAATTGACCGTCATAGCCATCTACCACATAGGATGCTATGTAGGATGTTTTTCCATCACAGATTTGATTTGCCATGTAAGCGTCATGTGTTCACTAAAATTGTTCTTCACTGATTATATAATGAAAATCACACACATATATATAATAACCCAACAATTTCGTTAACTCAATTTGCAGTACATTTACGCAACATGTTCTGGTCATCATAAAACTTAAGAAAACTCAACAATAGGTCCTTGTCAACCTTGACATCTATTACAATAGCATTATGAACAGCATGTGTATAGGCTTTTTTTTTTTGCTGTATAGTGGCACTCCTTAAAAAAAATCCATTGCATCAGGTTCCTGGTCTGTGCACTTGCCTCCCTGAAAATGACATATATGCAATAGTAACTCACATGTAAACAAAGTAAACCGTAGCCAAGAAACAAGAGTCAAGTCATGTATAATCAGTTGCCATTTCTACAGACATGACATATATGATATGAGATTGCAGCTTTGTTTTATTCAGTTATAACCACTAGACCACGAAGAAAAAGAACCTATTTTCATGAACACTTAAATGAACCTTACACACAAATCAATCCTTAAATCGCTAATTCTCATTTTTTGCAGGCTATTTGGGATGCATAGCTAGGGAGGACAGGACCTAGTGGGGGCAGAGGTGGGGACGTGGGGTGGATGAGACAGAGGCTGCTAGGAACATCATATTGAGGTTGGAGCATAAAAAATGTTCATGCCTATGATGATTAATGACACATTTCTTTAGTAAACTTGATTAACACCATCATGATAGCTTTATTAAACACAATAAACATGATTATCAATTTAAATGTTAGTTCTTGTTAATAAATATTTTTTTTGTAAAACTTTTATGAATATGAGTATGTTACAATATTTAGATCACATTTTTAATATACGGGGTAATGATATGACCATCAATTTGAACATTAGTTAATAAATATGTTATAGAAATAAGTACGTGTGTATTTAGACTGATCAGAAGGAAATGAAAAAGAATGATGAAATTAATAGCATGCATGTGATTGATAAGGGCATTTCTTTTTTTCTCCATAAAAGAGTTTACCATAAAAGCCCTTTGACCAAAAAAAATTATAACTAAGAAATTAAAGTAAATATTGTAATCCCTTACGTGTTAGCATGTATGTGTGCCAATGTGGATAATTCATAAGATGACTATTTCAAAAGACCATGCAAGGTTTCATGCTATCCATGCATAATTAGGCCTGCATGCCAATTCTGTGGTGTTAGTGATGCCACCCGATTTGTAAGTAGACCTCTTTGGTTTACTTGAGAGATAGATCTTTCGGTGCATGTGGCTGATCTTAGACCATTTCCTGCCAAGATTTTTAGTCTACTAGTAAGTAACTTTTAGTTGAAGTTCAATAGTCGAACATATGTACTGGTTTGGTTGTATCGTATTGTATTTCTATTATTAGTGCTTGAACTCTCTATATATACACACAAAACTTATATGTGCAAAGCATATTTTGTAAGCCCTTCACTTCCAACAACATATACCCTACACATCTTAAGTTTAATCATGGATGCACGATATGTTGTTTTGTGTTTCTTCCTAGTACTTGTCTTAAATGGAGATCCTACTTCTGCAGGTTTGTTTTCCCTATATATTCGTCCTTTTTCACCTACTTAATGTATATTTGATGACGTAATAATGCCCTTTCCGGTTATTCCACCTTTCTTCAATTCTATTCATTCATTTATTGCCCTTTCCAAGAAACTCAATGTTGGATATTTATGCTAATTTGATGGTCATTCTACTATAATGGATATTAAGTGAGATAATAATTTACTAATGGTGGTTATATTTCTTGTAGAAAATTGTTGGCAATTTGTTAAAGTCCATCCATTCTGTTTTAAGGCTATTTGCAAAGCAAATTGTTATTTGGAGAGCAAATCCTAGGGTGTCGATGTGGGAGGATACTTTTGTTCAGGACATGCAATTCATGGCTTGTGCATTTGTCAATTTTGCAAACATTAGTTATGTCAGAGTAGAAGCGAAGATACTCGCTTATATGGTAGAATCTATTGTCAAGAAGTCATGTCCGAATAATTATAGTGTAATGCTAACTAGTTAGCTTTCTTCTACGATAGATGCTACTAGTTAACTAGTTGTCATTTTTTTCTAGATTTACCATCTTTGTTTGCTATATGGTGGTTCCCTCAAGGAATAGTACTTGCTTTTAGTAACCAGACATTTTAATAGTACATTGTGTTCCCCTCTTTATGAAGTTTTTAAGCCTTTTTGGGCTTGTTGCTTTTTGTTTGTCTGACCTTTATTAGACATGTGATGAGCTTGCGGCGACATTAATTTATTTGAAATTAATGTGTGTGATTTTCCTCCTTTGAGCTAGAGGAATTTGTATATTTTGATATGTTCACCAAAATTCCTAGCTTCAACAATATACTTCATCCGTTCTAAATTATAAATTGTTTTAACTTTTTGTGTACTTTACAAAATCTATGTACCAAAAAGTTAAAGCGACTTATAATTTGTAGACAATTTGGGCATTGCGGTCTCGTAGACGTGGTCTTGTGAGTTGTAACAACTGCCCCAAGCGTACGTTAAGATCGGCTGACAAGGATAAGATTGAGGCATGTCTGGTGTGTACCGTGTACACGTACGTACGTGCGTGCAGCCCTGCTGCTTGGTAGTGTGATCATTACTGAATGGAGTTGCGATCGATTGGCCCCAAACACAAGCAGCTAGCAGTACTGCTGTGTCAGGCTGAAAACTGAATGGATTATTCATCCGTGTTTCCGTTTATCCTGAATTTTATCGCGCTGTTCAGTAGGTTATTGTAAGTTCGTTCTAGCCAACTCATGGTCTTGACAAGCTAGCTGTTTTAGTAAATAGCTGAAATCAAAAGAGCAACTCAACATACAGAGTCAAATAACCATCACAGGGCTACTGGATTCATCAATGTGAGTCCCATTCTACACTGGGGCCAACATTTTTTTTTCGAAGAACACTAGGGCCAACGCATCCTTGCGCCAAAGAAACTTGATGCCAAGCACATGTGGGACTTCCCCCGGATTATCTTGAGCATCCACAGCGTTAATTTCCGCGAAGTAGGCTAAGCGATATGTTTATATTCTGCAAGAAGTTTT